GATTAAAATTGGAACAGGAGAAGCTTACATAGGATTGGCTGTCAAAGGGAGCCTCTGAAGTCTCCTTTTTTCTGGAAACAGATTCTAAGGAGCTGAGACAGCCATCCATCTAGGATCACCCCACTTCTGCCCAGGGTTAGGGAACAGGTAAGATTACCTTTTCTTATCTTCCCATGAAGGGCTGACTGGCTGCATGAATCAGGAATTCCTCACTACCCTCAACCCGGGTCACCTTTCTCACAGATTATGAGGAGACAGAAGTGACACATCCAGGTTCGAGAGGCATCAGATGTGTGGGCAGATCAAAAGGTGGCTGGAGCCTGAGAGGAGGGCTCCGCACTGCACCTGCCTCTGACAGCAGCTTGCTGTGTGGCCTCGGCCCTGGCCACCACCTCTGCAATCACTCTGGGTGAAAGCAACCCTCTGACACCACAGCTCAGCAATGTAAGATGGAGAAAAACCACTGTCAGTGAGGGTTTGCAAATGCGTTGCTTGTTATATTGGGTCTTTTGCCCTGGAACACTAGTTCTTGGGAAATGATTTATATATCATGTAGGAAAAATGTGTAAGAGTAGATTCCATGATGGGTTAAAAACCATTATACCAGGATCTATTGCAAGACTTTTTAGATTCATTAACATGCCTAGTGCTTTCTGCTGCGCAGAGGGTGCTGCCAACGTCAGTGTTTCCCACACACGGGGACTGGAAGTGGGAGTGTGAATAAGGGTTATTTTTTTCTACTTTTTAATAGTTTTGAATTTTCTAATATGAGCATATGATATATTTACAAATCAGTTATTTCTTAAAAAGCAAATCAGAGAAGAAAAGAAAGGAAGGCTGTTTTAGTATCAGAAAGAGAGGAATATATACTTGAAGAAACACTGAGCAAGTTATCTCCATTTCACCATTAAATCAACTTAAGTTTCCTATATTTAAACATACTTACAACAACTAAAAAAATGAAGATCTAAGTATAATAAATATACTGTGCAATCTGATCTGGTTTATGGCAATACGCCCAGGGATACACTGTCAAAACCAAAGGGAGGGTGTTTGCCTGGACTTGAGAGCATGTGCCAGCATTGTCCCAGCTCTGCTCAAAGAGAAAGAATTCTCAGGCTGGTGACCGATGTTGGTATCTACCCAGGAAAAGGTAGTGCCCAAAACTGCTGATGCTCACCAAGCGTCCTTGTTCGCCTCCTTGTTTCCCAGTCTCCTTTGTGCTTCAGTGGGGGATTTGGTCCCATTGAATGTGAGTGGTATTGATTAGACTGCACAGTATATTTTTAAAAATATATTTCTTTTTTTTTAACATATTTTATGGATTTTGTACAGAGAGGAAGGGAGAGAGATAGAGAGTTAGAAACATCGATGAGACAGAGTCATCGATCAGCTGCCTCCTACACACCCCCTACTGGGGATATGCCTGCAACCAAGGCACATGCCCTTGACTGGAATCGAGCCTGGGACCCTTCAGTCCCCAAGCCGACGCTCTATCCATTGAGCCAACCCGGTCTCAGCTAAAAATATATTTCTTTATTGATTCCAGAGAGGAAGGGAGAGATAGAAACATCAATGATGAGAGAGAATCATTGATCAGCTGCCTTCTGCACACCCCCAACTGGGGATCAAGCCTGCAACCCGGGCATATGTCCTTGACCAGAATAGAACCTGGGAGCAGGCTGATGCCCTATCCACTAAGCCAAACTAGCTAGAGCCACAGTATGTTTATTATACTTAGATCTTCATGTTGTAAGATGTTGTAAGTATGTTTAAATACAGGAAACTTGCAGGGTGAGGCAGTTAGTCCATGTGCCTCCTCTGTTCTTTCCCCTGTTCCTGTAGCTTTGCAGGCCAGGAGGGCCATGTGGGGGGCTACAGGAGAGAAGAGCCAGGTCCCTGAGACACCCATTGGGAGAACCATGTAGGAGAGCTGCCCCAACCTGCCTTGGACTGTGAGTAGGAAATATCAAATTAAGCCATGAGATTTCAGGGTTTGTCTGTTGAGGCAGTCAGTGTTAATCATCTGAATCCAAGCATAGAAGTGGGAGGGTAGACATATCTCTTAGTAGCCAATGCTCTTTATCCTTAGTTCATGTCCATTACATAATCTTCTGATCACTATTAGACCTTCTCTGCCTCCCTTCTCACTTAGCTGTTGAAACAATACTCTATCCTACCCTGTTTCCCTGAAAATAAGACAGTGTCTTATATTAATTTTTGCTCCCAAAGATGCACTAGGTCTTATTTTCAGGGGATGTCTTATTTTTCCATGAAGAAGAATACAGTACACATTTATTGTTAAATGAAAATAAAGGAAATTTATTACCTGTATACGGTACCTTAGTACAGTAGTTGTCAACACAAACCAGACAAACTGTGAATCCTACAGTATCAAGAATTTACTCATTTATTCAATGACAATCATGTCTTCATCTTCTGGAACATCATCATAACAATCCAATTCCTGAATTTCCTGGTGAATTTCTTGTGTCTCCATTTCTTTCAGAATCAGTGGACCAAATCTCTCATGTTCAGCAATAGCACTGTCTTTAAATGAGTACTTCTTGTCAAGGTAGCCTGCTCGCAGTACATTTGCAATGCAACTGTCAGTGATTTTCTCCCATGAATTCTTCACCCAAGTCACAACTTCTTGCAGTTTAAGTTTCACAAAGTTTCCACGCTGATTTCTCTCCATTCTATTTTCAATGTAGTCAATAATTTCCATGCGCCCTAGCAACCAGTTTATGGTAAATTAATTTTCATTCTGAGACAGAGCCTAGGGGGGCCTTATTTTTGGGGGGATGCCTTATATTTCACTCAGAAGGAAACCTGTAAGTAGGTCTTATTTTTGGAGGATGTTTTATTTTCGGGGAAACACGGTAGTAATACGAAGTGATGATAATTACAATAGTTTAAAAGTATACTACGTGGCATTCACTGAATTAAATAAGTATCATATATTCTTTCATTAAATTTAATTCTCATGACAACTTTATGAAGAACTACTATTATTAACCCCTTTTTACGGATGGGGAAACCTGAGGCTCATGAAGCAGAAATATCTTGCCTAAATCACAGTTCATAAGTGGCAGAGGAGGACTCAAACCTGGGTCCATCTGACACCTAAGATGTTAGCTTCTCCCACAAGTTCTACAACACAGAATCCCAGCTCCTCAGCAGACTTGAAAGGGCCTCTCTTATGTGGCTGCTTCCTGGGGAGCCAGCTCCAGGTGCTACCCTCCTTCTCCACCTGCTAACCCTCCTTGCCTTCCACCTCACACCCTGGCAATCATAACCTATTGTCACCAGGCTAGTGCCTCTGGCTGCACTCCCTCCTTTTGTCTAGGCAATAAACTATCCTCTGAAAATGCTGCACGTGGACCTTCTCTGTCCAAGACCTCCCTGAAGAATCCCACTCTCCTCTGCTTCAGTATCTTCTTTTGTTGCCAATATCTCACTGTGGCAGTTACATTTCTTATAGTTATGTCTCCATGAAGGGCATGGACCAAGCTTATATATCACTGTATCCCTATCACTAGCTCATGCCATGTACATGATAAATGACAGTAACGTTCATTGAGTTGACCACAATTTCTTTATTGCCTCCGAGAGTGTATTCCCTGTGACTAATTATTCTGCCAACCAGTTCTCCCTTGGGCAATAAGTCAACTGGCATATTATCCTATATAATAAAAGTCCAATATGCAAATTGTCCCCTCTGGAGTTCGACTGACCAGGTGTTTGACCACTCACTATGATGTGTACTGACCACCAGGAGGCAGGGCAGAATGAAGGAAGGCCCTTGCCAGCACCTGGCAACCAGGGGAAGGCAGGTCCCAATTGGCCCTGATCGCCAGCCAGGTCTAGGGACCCTACCTTTGCATGAAGTTCATGCACCAGACCTCTAGTTTATAATATGTTCTGTTTAAAGTTTGAATTTTATGAATTGCTTTGCTAGCAGCTAAACACCTCTTTCAGTGAGCTAATGAAGTTAAATTTTACTTTTTGTTGTTTTATTACCTGTAACACATCTACAGTGCAGCTTTGTGGCTGACTCATGTTCTTTCTTCCCCTCATGTTTGTTTGTTTTTTAATACCCACACCCCCACCCTTTGACAACCATCAGCTTGTCTTTATGAGTCTGTTTCTGTCTTGTTTATTCATTGTTTTATTTTGTTAAGTCCACATATAAGTGAAGTCATGATGGTATTTGTCTTTTTCTGACTTATTTCACTCAGCATAATACCCTCTAGGTCCATCCATGTTGTTGCAAATGGCAAGGTTTCATTCCTTTTATTGCTGAATAATATTCCATTGTGTGTGTGCCATATTTTCTTTATTGGAAGAAGATATTCACCATTGGAAGAACATCTAGGTTGTTTTCATGTTTTGGCTATTACTAGTACAGCTGCAATGAGCATAAGTGTGCATATATCTTTTCGAGTTAGTATTTTAGTTTTCTTCAAATAAATACCCAGAAGTGAAATTGCTGGATCATATGGTAGCTCTGTTTTTAATTGCACCAATATATAATGCCACCAACAGCATTCCAAGGTTTCATTTTCTGAAGTCAAGTCTTTAAGTAAAAAAGGTTAAGGACAAGATTCTGTTTCCACTAACCTTTATTAATCATGAACTTTGTGCCAGGCATTGCACAAGACATCCACATATTGTCTTATTTTAGCTTTACAATGATCTGGGGGTACTTTTCTGCCAATTTTATAGCTAAATAAATGAGGCTTCAACTGATTGCAAGCTGTGATCATGATCCCCAGTTACTTGCAGAGTCTGAATCTGAATTCAAAGCTATTGACTTGAAGTCTAGGACTTTCTCTGGACCCACCGTGATCCTGTTCAGATGCCTCTGTGAGCACAGCCTGAATGTGTGCCAGCCTCTCACTTGCCCTTTGAATCATGTTGCATCCCGGCAGCAGCAGCATCATGGCCCGAGGACCCATGAGAAGACTTCTAAGTACAGAATGTTTTGGAAGCTGAGTTTAAACACAACTCAGACACTTATACATTCACATCCATACTCAATCCACTGAAATGGCAACAAGAACCAAGGAAACATTGGTATTACATTAAAGACAATCTACCTTTAGCCTTTTCTGGAATAATACTTATAACTTGAGCCCAGGCTTCTGGAACTGGCCTTCTGCTACCTTTTGACCAGTTTTAAATATTGCCACAAGTATTGGCTCCCTATCCTTGCTGGTAATCTGAGTGATCTTAAAGATTATCCATTCACTGGAGCATAGTGTGAGGAGAACATGACTTATAATGTATATTTGCTGGTGCGATGGGGAACAGAGATGAATCCTGAGCATCACAAAATTCAGTGGAGGTGATGGTGGGTAGTTGTGCAAGGATCTCTCTCACTCAGATATAAAGATACTTTGGGACTCTTTGGAACACACTGGACCTCAGATGGCCCAGGCTCCAGGTCATTGACCTTCACGAGGCCTAAGATGAGGACTCCCTTAGGAAAGAGAAGCATCTTGTTCCTGCAAGAGTTTTATAAGTTTATTGGTGAGACACGGGAAGTATGGAGATGAGGTCTGAACAAGGACAAGAGCCCACATAGTAACAGCACAAATGCCTTCATTGGTGGGAGAAACCTGCAGGGCTACTCCCAGCTATAAAATCTGCAGGGACCATGCAAGGTACAATGTATAACCAGATGTTTCCTCTGAGCTAGAGTTGCTCTCACAGGAGACAGGTATCTCAGTGGGCCTTCAATCATATGTACCCATGGAGCATATGGCCAAATAACTCCCTAAACCAGGATATGGAAGGGGCAGTAGGAGGATGGGGGTTACCTTTGAGAAAAAATTCTTCCACTGCAAGGAGAAGGATTCAGGAAGTGGAGGCCCAGTTAAGAGGTCTCTTGGTACAGAGGCAGAGGATGGGCTAGATTGTAGAATCCCGATTTTACATTAAGAAAGACTCAGGCAGAGAAATGGAAGAGAGGAGATGTCAGTGGCAAAGAAAACCAAGAGGAAATATGCCAGAGGAGTTTCCTATAGAAGGGAGTCCAGGACAAGGTAGACAACTGTCTTTCTCTTTATCTTGTGGTCTTTTTAGTGGGTGAATTCAGAGCTGAGGTCTTCCCAGAGAGATCCTTGAATTCACTTGCACTCCCCAGCCTGGTTTTGGCCTCCCCTCGAGGGCTGCAGTTTCCACTGCCAGTGACACAGCCTCCAGACAGCATGCCGTAGCCAACAGAGCTGGGTCGGTAGCCATAGGTGCCTGTCCCGCTGAACCCGAAGCCGGCACCTGTGCCCGGGGTCCCAGCTGTGGAGCTGCTGATGACTGCTGAGGAGGATGGAGGGAGAAGAGATAAGTGTGTGTCTCAGGACAGGAGTGTCACTGAGTCCCCTTCAACTTCCCAGCCCCAACTAACTTAAATGTTTCTTCTTTAAGCAAATACTTCACATCAACTGTGGACTTGAGTTGAGTGACTCACACTCAATTCCTGAGCAGCTCAAGCACCAGAAGCAGCCCAGATCCCATAGGACCCCCAAATCAGGCAACTTCTCTGAACAAACAGAAGTAGCAAGGACTTCTCCTAAAGAACAGATGATGGCCAAGCAAGTCTTGCATCTAACTTTAGAATCCAATCTTTTTTTTTTTTTTTCCTAAGAATATCCTGATTGGTTCATATAGGGGAGTTTTGCTGGCCTGTCTTAGAAGGAGACAGAGCTAGGGCCAGCATTAGAGCTGATGTGCACAGTCTGTCTGTGCCTGATCCCCACAATCAGTGAGAAGATGTGATTCTTCCTGCCTCTGGCTTCTAGGATTCCATCAAGTGCAAATTCTGAGAGTTTTATCCCAGCATGAGAGAGATTTCAGGGTGGGGGTAGGGGTGGGAAACCAATATGAAAGGTGAGGAAGTGATAGGAACAGGAGCAGTAGGTCTCAGCTGGGAGGTGATTGTGACAGTTGAGCTCGGGCTTTTCCATAGGGGTCTTGGTCATAGACACCCACTTAGTTTGTGCTTATTAACAGACTAAAAGCATTCCCCCATAGTCATGAAATACTCACAGATGCTCACAGAGTTGGTGTATTCTCCAGACATCCTGCACAGAGAGAAAAGTACAGGTGACTCCCTCACATGGAATCCACACTACCCTCACCACAGCCTGAAAGCCTCAGCCAGACTAGCTCATGTCCAGGCACACATTGCACCTGTGTATCCCTAAGCACCTTCCTCTCCATCCTCAGTCTACTCTCCCCACTTCAGAGACTATAAACTTACAGCCTTGGAGACCCCAGTAGCAACACCAGCTCCAGGGGCCCTCCTACCAAGTTTCTCCTTAGCCCACTTTTTTTATTCCTGAGAGGCTACGGCCTGAATAAGTACATGTGGAAATAGCATTAGGATTTGCCACTGGTGGACTAACTGTATTATTTTAGGACCCTCTCTCTCTGAGTCTTTTGTGTAAAATGGTGCAAAGGTAGAACAGGGTGTTTTTTTTTTAATGTCAGTACTTCAGGTACCACCCTCCCAAGTGTTGCTATGACCATATACAACTCATACTGTTATATAGCTAGTATGTATTTTCACTTACTCTGCCTTTTATATGAAAATTCATTTCTTTTAAAAGGAAGTGTTATATATCACTAGGATAAAGAGACAACCAGTACCTACTATAAGAACAAAGCAGTAAAATCAAAATAATAAAAATTAAACAATTTTTTTTAAAAATGTGACTAGATGTGTTGTCTACCCAGAGACAGAAACCAGGATCTATTCTCTTTATTAATAGTGGTATTTACAAGTGGCAGGGCAGTGGCAGAGACATAATAGCACCATGCAGAGACCGTCTCCAGTCTGAAGACTAGAATGAGAAGAACTATAAAGGAAATCTCTGTCTCATATGATCTTGTGCTATTTAAGGCTACATGGATAACCTAAAAAGCATCTCCAGCCACTCCATCAGCCTGACCCCCACATTCTGGGAAACTGAGTCAGAGATTACAAAAGTTCTTCCAGGTCTAACACTCTAAGATCCCTCCCATCACCCACCTGCACTCCTCGCCCTCCAGCAGCTTGCGGTAGGTGGCAATCTCTATGTCCAAGGCCAGCTTTGTGCTCATAAGCTCCTGGTACTCCCTCAGCATGCGGGCCAGCTCCTCCTTGGCCTGGTGCAGGGCAGTCTCCAGCTCATCCAGCTTGACCCGGGCGTCCTTCAGGGCACAGTCGCCCCGCTGCTCGGCATCAGCGATGGCCGTCTCCAGGTTGGAGCACTGAAGACCAGGAGGTAGCATCCCCCTGAGTTCTAAGGCACCCTGAGCCTCACTTCACCCTCCATCTGTTCACAGTGGTTGGACCCTCCTCTGTGCTGCCCATGTCTTAGAGCAAAGCTGCACACATGGTGTTGGGACTTGTCAACCTGGGACTGTGAGAGGTGGTTTCCTCAGACTTTTGGCTTTTTGGAAATATGTTTCCAATTGTTCTCAGACTTTATTTGGGAACTAAGTGTGAGGTTTGAGAGCAGGGGTTCTATTTGAGGAGTGGGGTCCTGAGATGGAGAACCAAGAGGAGAAGAAGCAAAGGGGCGTATATGTGATGGGCAGGCCACCCCTCCCTTGGGAGTGAACCAGGAGCTCCGAAGACCCCTTCACCTGTTTCTTCACACTCTCAATCTCCGAGCGCAGCCTTTGGATAAGCCGGGTCAGCTCTGAGATCTCATTCTTGGTGTGTTTGAGGTCATCCCCATGCCGACCAGCTGCCAGCTGGAGCTCCTGGAACTTGGGGGGAGATGGGTCAAAGCAGGGATTTTGACTCAGGGATGGGTAGGGGTCTCCAATTTCACCAGGCCTATCAACCTCCCACTCAAAAATTGGATTTATTTATTTTTCTTAAGCACAGTTGCTCTCACTGATGGTTAGATTTGGCCATAAGGATTGTTGAAAGTCTCATACTCTCCATACTGAAATTTTATAATACACAACTCTAATTATGGTAGTCTTCTGCCTATAGCCCTTCAAAGTCAAATTCAAACTCCTAGCACAGCATCAAAGAGCTTTGAGATCTGGCATCCACCAGTTCCTCCATACTCAATTCTCATAGCCTCTGCCCATCACCTATCTAGCTTTTCACATGTGCCAAATAGTTCTATGTCCCCTCAATATGCCACATACTCTCAAGTCTCTTAGTCTTTGCATGAGCTTCTCCCCTCACCTGAAAAACCCTTTTTTATCCATTCTCTCTTGTTCCCTAGCTGGCTCCAACTCAGTCAGTACAGAATCACTACCCGCAGTATGCCTTCCCTGATCCCTGGTTGGGTGGACCATAGCCCCTGCCACACCAGTCCATAGCTCTTACTACACTGTACTGTGATCACACATTTCTAAATCTTTACCATCAGACTCAGAATGACTAGAGAAGTAGTCAGCAAACTGTGGCTCTGTTGACTAATGAGTTTGCCGACCACTGGCCTAGACTCTCAATTGCAATAATTACAGGCTGTTGTTGTTCCTTGTGATTAAGCCCCTATCCCAGTGGTTGGCAGAGCAGCAAACTGTGGTTTGCCGACCACTGGACTAGAGGGCAGGCACCTTTTTTTATTACTTATTTCTGGATTCCTAGTACCTAGCACAGAGCCTACCTAGTGTTCAAAGAGGTCTGATGAATGGAGGGAAGAATGAGTTAATGAACCAAAGAGGGAGCTAAAGAACTGCCCATCTATATTTCCTGTGACTTTCTTCCCTTCACAGTTCACTTGGGCTCCAAGCTCCTGGAAATGTTGCTGGACATGAAGGAACATTTTGTGTATGAGTTGTAGGGATAGAATGACTATATCCTAACACTAGTCGTGGATTTTGGATCATATACTCTTTGGGGATTATTCCTGCCTTTGATGTCATCCATTGGATAGTCAACAGAGAGCATTTCATTTCTATTCCATAATTTGGCTTAAGGGAAACACAAAAACGTATGACATTTAAACTTCTAGTGTCTATGCATTACTTGTCTCTGTCCCTGGGTGCTTGGCCTTGCCAGTTCTCTCATATCTGGCCCCAGCATGGTCCTAGACTCAGGATTCCTCTTCTGAGACTCTGAAAGGCAGGGGTCTTCTCTACACTCCTGTGTTTTATCTTTGGGGATAATCTTAGTGCAAAAAAAAAAAAAAAACACTATGGCAGAACAGGTGGCCTTCTCTTGCTTATCTGCAAGGCTGTGTGAGCACAACCTCCCACACTCTGGCTGGGACAGAGGCACTGACTCCCCCAGTTCTGACACCATGCAGAGCCCTGAGTGATTAAACCACACAGCCATCCCTGACCCTAGCTTGCAGCAGAAAAGTTGGGGCTGGGCGACTTGAGTTGGAACCTTTATCAAGAAGCCCTGGACTGTGGTGTCTACCAGGCTTTGAAAGCCTTCCTTCCTCCCATCCCTGCAGGCCAAATCCCTGTAGCAAGGAAGGGGGGGGCGGGCGCGAGCACGCTCGGAGAGACAAACAAGATAAAGAGAGTGAGGATTTCCATTGAGAAGGATCCTGATAAATAGCAAGGAACAATTAGGAAATTGCCATTTAGATCTGAGAAACCACATTATCTGAAGAATTATTTTCCCACCCACTACCCATTATAGGAGTTAAGATCTAAGGGACTCAAACACCCCTTTATTCTTGGACTTGGACTTGAATGAAAAGGTAGGAGTTACCTAATCTCATATCACACTAAAGAGACCCCTTAATGTATTATAATTAACAAGGGATTTGAGATGCTAACTGCCCATGTTTTCTTCCTTCCCAGACGCAATTAATTCAAAACTCTGCCTTTGAGAGTTGTTCCTGACTTGCCCCATCTGATCCTAGTTCCCTAACCTCTGCCTCCCCTGCATTCACGACTCTGTGCCACATTTGTTTGCACTCAGCTGTGTGTGTCCTCCCATGGCTGCCATGGTCTAGGTCAGTGGTCGGCAAACTGCGGCTTGTGAGCCACATGTGGCTCTTTGGCCCCTTGAGTGTGGCTCTTCCACAAAATACCACATGCAGGAGCGCATGTAGAGTGTGATTGAAACTTCATGGCCCATGCACAGAAGTCGGTTTTCAGCTCTCAAAAGAAATTTCAATTGTTGTACTCTTAATATTTGGCTCTGTTGACTAATGAGTTTGCCGACCACTGGTCTAGGTGGATCCTAAGGGCAGAACTTCGTCTCCTCCCTTTGGGCTTCCACCAGTGTCAGGGAGAGTGTCTTGATCCCAGCTAGTGTGTGGGACATGATGGGTCATGGAACTGGACCAGAGGTCTCAGAACATTTGACTCTGGAAGGTATGCAGCCTTACCTTGGTCTGGTAAAGGGCCTCAGCCTCAGCCTTGCTCTTCAGGGCGATCTCCTCATACTGGGTTCGGACCTCATTGATGATGCTGTCTAGGTCCAGGTTACGGTTGTTGTCCATGGATAGGATGACAGATGTGTCACTGATGTGGGACTGGATCTGAGCAATCTCCTGCATGGGAAACAAGAAGGCATGAAATGTCTTGTGAGCAAAGGAAAATCCCAAGGTGATGGCCCTATCCCAGCAGGGGAGCCCCCAAACCCTCCAAAGCAGATGCAGCTGTATTCTCCAAAATATATATAAAAATGGAGCTCACCAGCCAAGAGGTTCCAACAACACATCTAGAAACTGCTGAGTTTGTTTGAAGTAGCCCAAGTAGAAAACATCCCTCATGTCTGTCACCTGAGACTGGTCAGAAGTAGAAAACGTGGGGGGAAACAGCCTGGACACCACACAAGAGACACTAAGGACACTGCAGCCCACAGATGCTTGGACAACAGGTTGAGGCTTGAAGCCAGATTGTCATAGAGTCAGTAGAAAGGTTTTGAGGCATCCTCACCTCTATCCCTAAGGATTTCTGACCAAGACCTGAGGGAATGCCCCAAGTGACAGAGAGAAGATAGGCAAAAATGAGAATGTGCTCCACTGAAGATCAGTGGGAACCCCTTAAGCACTCCCAGCTTCCTGGACGATGTGAGAGCAGGCCACTGGAGCTAGGCTGGAACTGATGGCATGTATCATTTGAAAGTATAAGGGTATATTTCACTCTTGCCTTGGATCTACAAAGTTCCCACCATCCAAATACTAGAGACCTGGGCTCTTAAAGTTACTGATGAGTAAATAACTGCTCATTTATGTCTGTCCTTCCAGAAGACAAAGTGAGTTGGGAGTGGGATAGGGGAGCCTTACCCCTTCGTACAGACACTTGAAGAACTTGATCTCTCCATCCAGGGCGTCCACCTTGGCCTGCAGCTCCACCTTGCTCATGTAAGCCGCATCCACATCCTAAGGGAACCCAGAGACCCCCTGACATCACCCTTCTTCAAGTCCAGACAGCGTTCTCCTGGGAACCGGCACCCCACCACTGACTTCGTGAAGAGCTGCCTCAGGGAATGGAGTCAAGACAAAGAGGGCAAGACCCTAACTTCCACCCAGGACTCACTGTGAGACCTTAAGCAAGTTCTTGGTGCCTCTGGAACTCCTTCTGCCCCATTCTAAAATGGGGTCTTTTTACTGCCTCTATTTCTCAAGGAGAAGGTACAGGAGAGAGCCCTACCCCCAGCCTCACACACACATACCCACACACACACAGTCTATAATTCATTAGGGCAGAGGGAAGCAACTGCAATTTGTCAGAGGCAGGCAGAGTTGGAAGGCAAACCTATAGCCCCTCCTGTTCCCAAAACCAAAGTGGGCATGACCTGGGGATTGGCTATCCATGTCTAGGCTCCTGCCCATTTACACAAAACACCAAAGTGTTCTAGATAAACACCAAGGTGTCCATCCCAACATGTCCCAAGCAACAAATCCCTCCATCTGCTTTGGCATTTCAGCTCCAGGCCCTTGTAGGGATCACAGAATTCAGCTTCCTCTCTGATGTCACCTCACCCACATTCCACACTCCACTTTTTGGGTAAGCGAAGGATATGCACCCCCTCCTCACCTTCTTAAGCACCACAAATTCATTCTCAGCAGTTGTGCGTTTGTTTATTTCATCCTCATACCTGCAGGAAAAGCATCACAGTGAGCGGTGTGTGTGTGTGTGTGTGTGTGTGTGTGTGTGTGTGTGTGTTTCATTATGAAAAGAGAAAGGACATGCTCATGTTGTGTATCTTTTTTTAAAATATATATATTTTATTGATTTTTTACAGAGGGTAAGGGAGAGAGATAAAGTGCTAGAAACGTCGATGAGAGAGAAACATCGACCAGCTGCCTCTTGCACACCCCCTACCGGGGATGTGCCCGCAACCAACGTACATGCCCCTGACCGGAGTCGAACCCGGGACCCTTCAGTCAGCAGACCAACGCTCTACCACTGAGCCAAACAGGTTTCGGCATCATGTTGTGTATCTTTTACTAGGTATTATTCTACATCTTTGCAAATCTGTCCAACTCACTAAGACTATTTGTTCAGCATTGTGGACAAGGTTTGAAGCAATCCCCACCCCCGTGGGCCAAGTGACTAGATGGTTTGGTGTCTGAATTTCCTCTGCTGTCTGGAGAGTGAGTAGGTTCTTCCTCCTCCCATTTAGTGCTCAAATCACAGGAGCATGACACTGTCTTTCAGCCATGATTCTTGTGTCCAACACCCCTATAATAACTCCACCTCATCCTCAAGCATGACTCCCAAGGCAGCCAGCACTGTCCCTGGGGAAGGAAGAAGAAGCATGGCCCAAATGTCCAGGACCTGAGGGAAATGATAAAGGAAGCCCAACAGAAATCCAAGCTCCCTGGCATGTGGAACGAGTTTCCTTGGAACTTAGAGGCAACTCAGGAACCAAGAGGCGGTGGGGCAGGCACACATGAACTCTCTCAAGTGAGAAAAGGAGAGAATATGCCCTAGAGGTATTCTCTGTCAGGACAATCCTGCAGCTTTCCAAGAGGCTGACTGCCCCCTGCCCAGCTTGTTCAGCTGTCATCTTGCCTGGGCAGAAGAGCTCAAGCTGGGTCACTCCCACCTGAGCTCTGTGCTCCTGAAACCAGAGGCAAATGTCCCAGTGCCTGCTGGGAAAACCCAGCCCAGGAGGTGGTCAATCTGGGTGCAGTATTCTGCTCACCTCTTCTTGTAGTCCTCCACCACGTCCCGCATGTTCCTCAGCTCCGAGTCCAGCCTCACCCTGTCCCCCGACAGCGTCTCCAGCTGCTTCCGCAGGCTGCTGATGTAGCCCTCGTACACGGGCTCCAAGTTGTTCTTGCAGTTGTTCAGGTCCAGCTGCTGTAGAAGCTCCCACTTAGTCTCCAGCACCTGGTTCTGCTGCTCCAGAAACCGCACCTGGAACCCAGATCAACAGACATTGGTCATGGGGAGAGGCTGTGTGTTACCTTTTCTGGATGGTAGCTGTGTTCTCTTATGCTGCATTAGCTTAAAGGGTAAGCCTCATGCCCCTCCACACCCAGGCCCTTTGTCTGACTCAGGAGTTCTCTTTCTGGGAGCATCCCACACCATCAGGAGGGGCTTCAACATCTTCATTTCCCTCTTACCAACATATGTCTCCTCTGAATCTGTCCAACCATGCTTGGGCCAATGTCAGTGGTCAGCCTTGGCCAGTGCTGATCTTAAATATGTAAATTGACCTGTATTAGCCTTCATGCTCCTGGGTGGCTCTGCTCAGACTAGTAGCCTGGCCTGTGCTCTGCCTACTTTCTGTCTTCTCTGTCATGGCCTTTCCCAGCCCAGCCAGAGGTCGGTATTCAGCTGACCTGGAGTCTCAGCACCTCCTATGTTGCTTTCATGTCCAAATCTATTATCTCAGAGCATTTCCCCAGCATTCTCAAGTAGCAGCCTATAAATATTATATCATTTCCTTGCAGAAAACCCTCTGGTGGTTCCATATCACCTACAGAGTCAAGTCTAAATTCCTTCTTTAGCTCTTCATAATGGGCCCAGCCCCTCTGCTGCCATTCACCAAACATTCACACAACCCAAGGTGTCCTGCTCCCCAGACAAGTCCTTCATGCTGCATGTGACTGCTCCCTCTCCTACATTTCCTTTCCCCACCTCTGTCTGGTAAACTCTTCCTCAGGTTTGACTCCTCTATCCTGCTGTCAACTTTGGGAAGCTTCCCCCTACTCCTGGAAACTCAAGAAGTCTACTTCCCAAGATGCTCCTACCTCTTTGTTAATCAGTGGCTCTCAAACTTCAATGTGCATCAGCATCACCCTGGGGGCTTGTTAGAGCTGCACATTGCCAGGCCCCACTTCCAGAGTTTGTGATTCAGTAAGCACAAAGTGGAGCCTGAGGACGAGCATTTCTAATCAGTGCCCCAGTGAGGCTGATGCTGGCAGTTCAGGGACCATTTTGGGGAACCTCTACACCAATGCACTATTGATCCCCATGTGCCTTGCCCTGGGGCCCACATGTCCATTTGGATGCATCTCAGGCTCTGAGTCTGTCATCTGACAGAATCTGAGCTGGTCTGGGAGCTAGGCTCTATGGCATTCTAGACATCCTAGGCTTCCATAGACCTTTCCATTGTCTGACTTCTAAGTTTCACGTGCCATCCCTCTCCTACTTCTCAACTCATGCCACTGTCTCTGCCTCCAGGAGACCTTCCCAGACTAAGCTCTCTAGCTCCTCCTGCCCATCTGGCCACCCTGACCTCTCAACACTGATGTCCAGGGTTCGTTCAGTTCCCCCCTGACCTGTCCTTGGCTGTGTCTGCATCCTAGAAAGGTGGCCTGTCTTCCTCCATCTCAAACTGGGAGCCCCCAAAGACAGTAAAGGCGGAAGAACACTCAGCTTTCTACATTCGGCTTTCTCCAGAAAGTCCCACCTTGTCGATGAAAGAGGCGAACTTGTTGTTCAGAGTCTTGATCTGCTCCCGCTCCTGGGCACGCACTTTCTGGATCTCGGGGTCCAGCTCCACATTGAGGGGGGCCAGAAGGCTCTTGTTGACGGTGACCTGAGAGATGCCTCCTGGAGGGCACACAGATGGACAAGCGGGCCCCAGGGCCACACTGCCAAACATGCTGCCAGCAAAACCACTGGCACGGCCCCGGCCAAATCCATAGCTCCCTGTTCGCCCGCTGCCACTGGTCACGTTGTAGGAGATGCCCCGGGAGCCTCCCAGGCTGTAGAGGCTCCGGCTCCCAAAGCCCCCGCTGAGCCCTTTGCCCCCTGCCCGGTAGGAAGGCGAGCTGCCCCCAGAGAGCACAGCGGAGCAGCCGCTGAAGCCCCCCTTGGCGGCAGCGCCTGTCTTGTAGGTGAACTGGCGGCTCATGCTAGAAAATCCAGAGAGCTGGAATAAGAAGCTAATCCTCAACTGAGATGCAACTCACAAGCCTGAGATCTTGGTCTCCCCCTTTATAGGGCTTGAGAGAGAGCCACTGCTCTAATTTGTGGGTTTAGTTTGCCTGGGAGCAAGAAATCATTTTCTCCCAGCAAAATCAGAGGTAAATAACTTGAAAACCCCCAAAGTGATGGGCTTGCAAGCCTTGCTCATGTAATTTGAGTCTTATCTAATTAACCAGGGGTATTTAGCCTGGCCAAATTACCCCTAGAAAGATCTTGGCTGGGAGGTTTGTCACAGACTCAATTGCCCTTCCCCAGGGAGTGGGAAGGGGAGGGGTGAGTTGCGGGGGTGCAGAGGGGAGACCTATAATTGACAGTGTCATCTGTGAGAGATCTCACGACTGTACCAGCATCAGATGGGCTGCTTTAGGGACTGCTTTTATGTGGTTAGGAGGAGACTCCACGACAGAGCTTCCCAGGGTTCCTAGAGATAGTTCTCATGGTGACCAGGACCAAGGGTGATGAGCCAGGACGAGGAATCCAACCCAGCCCTCTGGCTGCCAGTTCCTGTTGTGGCCTCTCAGGCAGGTGTTCTGCTCCTCTGTGCTGGCCAGGATGCCCTGCACACACTGACTTTGCTCCTGCCTCTCCCACCGCCCTCACCCTTGACCTTGAAAGAATGGTATTGCTACCATTCATGGTAGCTGACACTGGTGCAGGGCTTTACAGCATTAAAAAAGCTCCTGGCACACAGAAGCCCACTTAACCCACTTGACCTGGGGAGGAGCTTGATGACCCACATTTCACAAATGGGAAAACCAAGGCTCAGATAGTTGAGGACAGTGAACATTTCATGAGCTCTTTCTCTGTAAGAATCTCAAAGGATACAAATTTCCCACAAAGACTAGGTCCAGCCTTGAGGGATTCCCTTGGATGGTCTCTGTCTCCATATTCATAGAAGCCTTCCCATGCAGGCCTTATTTATCTGCCCAGACAGGCAGACAACCATTCACCTCTTCAGTCATTCATCCATCCACTCATCTAACAAACTTTGGTTGAGGTCTGACTCTGTCCAGAGTAATATGCTAGGTTCCAGGGTCATAAATTATAAGACAGTAACCTAGTTTACAATTCTAGGATGAGTGAAGACACTTAAATTTCATTAGATCCTTGGCATTACCAAAGTATTCACAATTCCCCAAACCCAAATATATTTACAGTACATAATTTCCTCCATAAAAATGCAATTACTTCACTAACCAGAGTGCTTGAATGAACAGCTTGCCAATCCCTCTTATCTATTTCTGTGCAGAAACGATGGCCCCATCCTATAGTATACTAGCATTATTTATTATAACACAATAACATTACCTCTCATACTGTTGTACCTAGAAATTGCCAAATTCAACATTCCCTTCTTTTTTAAAATATAAAATAGCTATTTTAAATTAAGAATAATCATTTTCTTATTCTCAGTTTTGCTACCAGCAATGGCACTTGACAAACTTTTCAGAATTTTTATATTAGACACAAAGGATTTATCCCTTTGCATTTTCTCCTTAAGGTTCGAGTTAAGCCCAACAAAGCTGTGTGTGATGACGATGCTGATTGTTCCAGCCAGAATCACTCCTTAATTGACTCTCTTGCACACACCTAATTCAAGGGAGATGTGAGTCAGACCTGTGTCTCTGCAGAACTGCAAACTGCTGTCCCAGGTCTTCATATCACTTCCTAAGGGCTGAAAGCAGGTGCTCATGTGGTGAGGGCCAGCTCAGCAGCATGCTGGTGAGTGTTAACGTGCATCTAGCCCCTCGCCCCACATGGCCTTTACTTCCCCTCTCTCACCCTGGCCTTCTCTCCTTGTGAACCTGCTACAAGGCACTCTGGAAACCTCTGGTCACTTGTCAATCCAGCCACTCCTATCTGCCTAGCCTCCCCAAATTGCACTATTTCTCTGTACTCATTGAGAATCTGTACCTGTGTTCCACGTGTGTGCAAATCTTCCCCGGCAGCCCGGAAGTTTCTTGAGGACAAGTCCTCTTTACCCACTGCCCAGAACCATGGGGGGAGGGATTCTCAGAAAGTCTTAGATGGTATAAAAGGCTCTTAGGAGTTTCCTGGAATCATCCCCCCTAAGGACAGAACCCTTAGCACCTGTGTTGAAAACTTTCTTAAGTGACTTTTAAAAATAGTGGGTCATTACATTTCACATCCTGCCACTGCTTTCTACAGGGTGTGTGTGGGGGGGAGGAAGGGCTCAACACCAGGTGAGCCACCCCCCCCCTTTTTTTTAATATATTTTATTGATTTTTTTACAGAGAGAAAGGGAGAGTGATAGAGAATTAGAAACATCAATGAGAGAGAATCATAGATCAGCTGCCTCTTGCACACCCCCTACTGGGGATGTGCCCGCAACCAAGGTACATGCCCTTGACCAGAACTGAACCCGGGACCTTTCAGTCCACAGGCCGACGCTCTATCCACTGAGCCAAACTAGTTTCAGCCAGGTGAGCCCTTATTAATCTTCACCCTATCAAGGAGGTACAATTAATACACATTTTTACAGGTAAGGAAACTGAGGCACAGAAAGGTTAAGTCACTTGGACAAGGCCACACAGCTGGGCAGTGGGAATAGAAGCCAGGCAGTCCACTGTAGAACACATGCACTTAACTACTGCGGCCTGCAATTTTTAAAAAATAATCCATTTCCCCAACTCTGAGATTATTACTCAAAATGTCTGGGGCAGGGCCTGAGCTTGTAGAGTTTCTAATCCTTCCTCACACTTCTTTCTTTAGAGCCTGAACCCACTCCTAGGGGCTCTGCCTTTTAAGGTTACAATGAAGAGCATTAAATAATTTCAGCTCACATTCCATTGTCCAGAACTTAGTTTCATGGTCAGAATTATTTGGAAATAAGTCTTTAGGTGGGTAGCCAGGTCTCACCTACAATTTCTACTTCAGTAGCAAGAGAGAAGAAAGGACACTGGGGAACAAACAGCAGGTTTGGGAACACTGTCTGCTAGGTAAGCACCCTTGTCCCTGTATCATCCATCCACTATTTAATACTATGCAATGGGGTCCAAATCTCTTGAGATCATGCAGAAGCAGGATGCCCAACCATCCGGTTTACCTAGGACTGAGTGGATTCTCAGGACGTGGGACTTTCAGGGTTCTTTTTAATAGTTGACAGTATTACAAATGTCCTCCAGGAAAACCAAACAAGTTGGTCAGCCTATCCAGAAAGGCTCTCATCACAAGATCTGGCCCAACCCACCTCTCCTACTATTTTTCTCTCCAAGCTCTGCCAGGTCTCACTTCCCAAAAGAGCCCAAAGAGTCATGCTCTTGTCAACCTCCTTTTCATTTATTCAACTTATAGTTATTGACCATCTACTTTGGGTGTGGCTTCCTCACTGGGGATAGAACACCTCTATCTAAAACACTCCCTACCCACACTAACTCCTCCTCATCTTTCCATGTTCAGGTGTCAGCTTCCAAGGCTCTTCATCAGGGAAGTCTCCCCATGTGCCTGGTCTGGCCCTTGCTCCTGACATGCCAGAGATAGCACTTACATCACTGTTCTCTGATTGCACATTCACTGACCTACCTTCTTGGTAGACAAAGTTCTAGGTCACCTTTTGTACCTGTGCTGAGAACAGAGTCTGGCACATAGTAGGTGCTCAATTAATGATTACTGAATGAGCTTAGAGCTGGCTCAGATAAGTAGCTATGCCCATCCCCTCCCTGGCTACCTTCTCTCCTCTAAGTGCTCATGACGGGGAACTGATGACCCCTCCCAATCCAGGACCACAGGACTCCATAGTGTGTTGGGCTGGAACTGCTTTCTGGGCGAAGCTGGAGACAAAGAGGCAGAGTTGCCCTCTCAGCCTGAGCCCACAGGCTGCTGCTCCCACTAAACACCCTCTGGCCATTTACCTGATAATAATCCTTATAACAACCATAGTTACACTATTATCCCTCAATTAGGCAATGATGATTCCAGCTTGGCTGCCAAGTAGAGCTCAAGAACCCAAAGTTAATTATTTTTTTAAAAATGCATCTTTCCCAATAAAGAGAGAAAGTAAGGGTCATTTTTGCCTATCTTCCAAAGCTAAATAGAAATGACATGCCCTTCCACCAGCAAGATAACTGAGTGGGGAGAACATCGAGTGAGAGAGAGTGTGTGTGTGTGTGTGTGTGTGTGTGTGTGTGTGTGTTTTGCAGGATGACAAGTGGGAGTGAACAATATTCATGGCCCACTTGGTCAGTGCATACATGTTCCCAAATGGATAAATTTCCAATGGAGAAATAGGACATAACATCTCCATGGAAAGTAGGGCCCCAGGGCTCTCTTGATGGCCTTTGTAGCTCAGCAGGTAACACTGGACATTTATTTCTAATTGAACTCCATCAGGAGTGTGGTCCTAACATACATTTGCTTCTCATCCACTTTTATTCTCATCCCTGGGGAAGGAGAGACACATGAACCCAGCCCCCTCTCACGTTGTTCTCAAGTGAATGATGCACACTGGCTTTCCCAGGATGAGGAAATTGGGTGGGGCCAGGCTGGCACGCCTGCACCCTCCAGCTCCCCACAGGCCTTTCTATCCCCTCCTCTCTATGGTAGAAGCATGGGGACCTCACCTCAGTCTGTGGGCATTGGCTGTGTGGTCTTGGACAAGTTGCTTCTCATAGCCTCATGGAGGGGATTTGAGTAGAAAGTTCCAACGTTTCCTTTGCATCTAAGATCCTATGCCCACCTCCACGCTGTCAAGGCCCCCTGAGTCCCGTGGCAGAGAGATATCTTTCCCATAGATTCACCCAGGTTCTGTGAATCTATGGGAGGCAGAGTCCTAATACCCCAGACTTGATTACATGGGCTTTATAAAATCAAATTATAATAGAACAAGTTCTTGATAACCCATGGCTGCAGATTATGAGTATAATGACTGACAACAAGAAGGTGGATAACAGAATTGATAGTGATCATTGAAAAGGAAGTGTGTATACCTGTGCTTCAGGACTGAAATAGAGGAGAACTTTGGTGTCTTTCCCACAGAAGGGGACAGTTGGACTAAGGACACTACAAGGGTGCAGGGCCAGGCAGGGAAAAGGTGACTGACAGCCCTATCAGCCCATTGAGACTGCATGTGAAGGGTTTCCACGGGGCCCCAAACTTCGAACATATGAAATAAATAAATAAATAACTTGTTTTGACCCAGAAACATGTCTCCAAATTGCCAATGTGTGTGTGTGAAATACTCAAGTTGACAGATGCCACAAGATCGGGGCCAGAGACTCAGCCTTGCCTCTGGGAGGGAAACCCACAAGTTTCTGTTTATCTTGATTATTTCCCTCACCAGAACCGGTGTTTCCAGAATTCCCAACCTGAGATCTGGGTCCTTGGGAGCCCATCCTGGCCCCACAGAGCCTACAGGCCTGGATGCAGATCCAGATGCTACACTGAATTTTTCAGAGTGGGGGTCTATCTTCTCTCACAAAGACTCTGCCCCTGAGCTAAAGCCAGTCATGGCTATATTGGAAGTGGGAACTATACTTGGCACAATTACTGTGGGGAGACAGAGAGGGAGGATCAGAATAGCCCTAGGCATACCCACATGCTTTCTAGCTCCCTGAACACACATGGCACTGAG